CCTCCCCATATTGTTCCATAAATTGGTGAAAGAAACGGGGTACGGGGTCTTTTGCTTAAGCCACTGACCTGGTAAGGGCAAAGACCCTAACTTAAGTTAGCTAATAAACTGTCCTACTGCATTTGCATTGTCGTGGGTTGGCATATTCTTCTCTTCCGAGATTCTCCTTTACAGCCTGGGTACAACATTATTACCTGAATTTTATAGACTTTTGCCTAAAATGATTCAGATGATTTGGTAGTTAAAGTTGTATGTCAGCTTGGCTGGCCCTGGTTTTGAGTGGCTGGGTAGCTGGATGTAGTGATTCTCCATGGTGAGACTGGTAATCAACTTCATGGTGGAATCTGCTGTGAGCAGCTGAGTAGCTGCTTTAGGGATATTGTCTGCTTCCAGTATATAAGGAGAAGCTTTGGGAATATCTTGAGTTTTTGGCATCCTTAGACCCTGCATTTACCCAGTCTTCATTCAGCAACATGCTGTGTTGCCTGTTGATTTTAAGACTGTTTCTGGATTTGAACTAGTGGCCTGCCATGTTGCATGACAATCTTGGGATGGTGTCATTTTACTTGTCGGCTTTGGGTTTGTCAGCCTCACCAGTCAGCAGCTGCCTGAGGTAAGAGATACCTCTAGCTCCAGTGGGCCAGGAGCAAGAGGCAGAGCTGACACCAAAGGTCAAGAGGCCTTGACCCAGTCCCTAGAGCTGACCCTTTGAACTCAGACTTCTAGCTTCCTAAACTGTAAGAAAGTAAATTCCTGTTTGTTAAAACCACTGACTTGTGGTATTTGCTGTTAGAGCAGCACTAGATAACCAACACAGATAGTAAGAAGGGTACTTATACTCTAAATTAATCTGCCAGTCTTAAAAGTCGATATAGACAATGATTTTTGCTTTTGATTATAACCATTCCTGTAAGGAATTGCAAAGAGAAAGAAAAATATATAAGGTAGATGACTTCCAAAAATATCACAAACAGCATTTTTCACTGTGAATCCAAAAGCATGAATGTGTAATATTAAAACAAAAAAAGGTCAGACAAAATTATAGGTGCACATTTCTGTTTCCATTGCTGTTGAATGAATTAGAGCTACATAGGTATTTCTAGAGCCTAGCATAGCATCTATGTCAATAAATTTCATTGTACTGAACTGAAAAGTCCCCAACTCTATTACTGTATTGTAATCTTTAATCTTTTCCTTTTTGCTTGCCCTGGAGCTTTATGAATGTTTAGATGTTTGCGCACTTGACTTTTTGATATTGAAAATTGAATTTGCATGACATGAGTAGGATTAGAATCCCAGCTTGCTACTAGAGCATGGAAAATTAAAAAAAAAAAAAAAAAAAACCTACAAATTAGCTATTGATTCTAATGGCTTACTAACCGAATGTTATAGAAATAATTTCTTGACAGGTAGAATATTGTTTTACTTGAATTTTATGGAAACAATCAATTGATGCTCTCATTAAATAATATTTCACTAATAGTAGAAATTTTGAAACCTCAAGCTGACATTTTTGTCATTTCTGGTTTGATCCATTATTCATCCATTCAACAAAACATTTATCAAATTCCTACTCTGGAGTTCCAAACATTGCAGTGATACTAAAGTGAGAAAATAATGGCTTTCAGAGAGCTTAAAGTCTAGTGAGTTAGAGATACTAATCTAAACAATAAATGTACAATTACAACTATAATAAGTGTTACTAACACATAGCATTTAGCTAAATGAATGCATCTGCTGAGAAGATTAATTTTTAGAATGTGTATGAGGAAAGTCTTCCCTAACAAATGTAATGCTGAACTGAAACTTCAGAAAGGTAATTAAGCAATAAAGCAGAAGAGTAAAGATTTCAAAGAAGATTTCTTGGCGGAATGAATAGCATGAGAAAAAAAAATCCTGAGTTGGTGGTGGATCAGGTGGGAGAAGTATATTTAAGTAATTAAAAGCCACTGTAATTGAAACTGAAGACCAGGAATTAGAAAAGCAAAAGAGAAGAACATACTCAGCATTTCTTAAAACTGAAAGAGGAAAAATTCAAGCCTTAACTCATAATATTGAAGGATTCTATGGGCAAAATATTAAAGGATGCAGGAAGCATCAAAAAAAGATGGAAGAAATATAGAGTAACTGTACCAAAAAAATTAGTCAATGTTCAACTATTTCAGGACGTAGCATATGATCAAGAACCAAAGGGATGGAAAGAAGTGTAAGATGGGCTGAAAGAAGTGGCCAAAAACAAGACTCTAGGAATTGATGGAATAGCCACTGGGATGTTTCAACAAATGGATGCAGCTCTGGAAGTGCTTACTCTTTTATGCCAAGAAATGTGGAAGACAGATACATGGCCAACTGACTGAAAGGGATGGATATCTGTGCCCAACTTAAAGAAAGGTCGTCCAACAGAATGTGCAAATCATCGAATAATATTGTTAATATCAAGTACAGGTAAAATTTTGCTAAAAATAATTTTAAAATGGTTGCAGCAGTATATTGACTGGAAACTACCAGAAACTCAAGCTGGATTCAGAAGATGTAGAATGCTAATGTAAGATGGATCTTGGCTGAAAGCAGAA